GAATTATCTCAAGTGAATGGTACATTATTTCCTAGAAAATCCTCACTTACTTCAACACTCTTATCTAGATTAAATTTACTTTGGCGGCACATATCAAAGAGTCGAACTCATTTCGAAACAAAACCTGATACAGGTAAATTTAAATAAATATTAAGTTATAATGAATTTACTCATTAAATGAATAAATTGTCCAAATACAATTACTCTGTTTATTTATTCCCGATCATTTATCCCTATTGAATTTGTTTCTTAAATGTAATTTCCTCACTTTCTTTTTAAATGTCCTATACTTTTGGCCTAATTTAAACTTATTTTCAGGCTCTTTTTCTTTCATATTATTTATTTATCTTTTCCTATTCAATCTCTCAACTTTTTCCATTTTATAATTATTTATTTATTCCCATTTAAAAATGCTTTGATTTGATTAATTGTCATAATGTATAAATGTTACTCTAATAGTAATTATTTTTATTTTTAGGATTTATTGGTAAAGGAATGACAAGACATTTAAATAGAGCTTGGAACTATGTAATCAAAGGTATATTTGGCACGTTAGCTATGTTAGTTATATTTCCAATTATATGTCTCTCTGCAAGTTTTGGAAGTCTGATGGTGGCATTAACTGGTCCACTATGGTGATTATCTTATAATTGATTTTCAAAATATTAAAAGTTATAAAATAATAACGTATTTGCAGGATGCCTTTGGTAACATTTTTATTACATGTTTTCAATGGCTTAATTTATGATTTGGACTCTCCAGCTGAATGGAAAAACAGATATTTTGTTGTAATTGAAGCCGTTGTATGGAATATGATTTGTCAGGGCATCTTACAACCATTGATAGCGTGTTTTATTGCTTTCATATTATGCCCAATAATTACAGTAATTTTATTCATCGGTAATTTTACTATCTAAAATATAATATTTCAATTGTTTAAAATGATTTAAATTTAAATATTTTTTATTTATTTAACTTTTTATAGTTGCTCTGTTGAGGTATTGGTTTCGTTTAGCATGGGATAGCATTATATACCATCTGGTGATTAAAAAACGTGGACGAATACCAGCATGTGATAGTTTTATTGTTAAACGTGTGGCTGGTCCAGGTATGGCATCAGATTATTACTTTCAAATTCGTCCTGAGCAAGCTTTGGCTGCATTTGAGGCTAAAATGGAGTTAGATGAACTTAACGCATATCAAAATCTTATGGAGCAAAAAATTCAACAACCACAAAAAGATTTTGCGCGCTTTGTTGATGTATGTTTTGGACCATTTAGTGCACATTTAGCCAAAAATGGAGCTTATCGAATACTGGAGAAAGAAGCACAGGATTTAATGACAGCACTTCAAGATAAATTGGAAAGAAGATTACGAGAACTTCAATCTGGTTTGTCGACAACTCTAAAGTCAAAAATTAGATTAACTTCAAAGGATCTTAAAGTAAAATTTGTATTATAATTTAATTAAATAAATATGTTTGTAATGATTAAAATTTTGAAATTATGTTTAGGTTACTGTTGCTTTAGCATCAAAAATGTTAGAATATTGGTACCCTCAACATGTAATGCAAAAGTTGTCTATTAGTGAAGAAGAATTTTGGGAATCCAAAGGACTTTCAATAAATGATTGGTCCGCTCTTGCTGTCGTATTTTTGACAGATATATTCAGTTTAGATTTTCTCACACCATTAGATGATGCAGATACTAAGTTTAAATTAGAGGTAATAAATACTAAAAATAATTATATTCAAATTCTTAATAATATTTTCTCCTTAGACTGAACAGAGTGTAGATTTATCACGATTTTATAATGCTGTTCAAAGTATTAATGTAGATGGCCAGTGCTCAGAAATATTGGGCCCATTATATTCGTCACGTGGAAACATTCAAATACAATCACCATACTTGGAAATTTCAGCTTTTAATCCTCGCTCAAAATTATTACACTGCAAATTCAAAAAATTAGATAGTGCTTGGTATATATACTATATTATACTTTATACTGTACCCATATAATATATCTATTCACAAAGTTATTATCCTTAAATTAATTTATGTTTGTTCTAGCAATAGTATTACGTACACAATGTTATTAGGCGGTCGTTTTAAAACTGGTACTCGCAGACACAAAGCATACCTGAGAACAAATTCTATGCCATCTCAACGTAACAAATCTCGGCCGTGGAAACGAACACAACAGTCATACATGGCAGATAAAATGTGCATACCGTTACCTGTTCCTCATCCAGCGCATATAGCTTTAATAATATACAACCGGGATTCTGAATCTCCTATTCCTTTAGAATCCGAAAATTGCATTGGAATTTTGAGGTCTGTAGTACTTGATAATATTAAAAACTAACAGTCATATAATTTTTTTTTTTTAATGTTTAGGGCCTTGGAAGATCGAACATCAGATCCTACTTCAACTGATTATATTCCTGCTAGTAGTTTTGACAGTGCAGATTCTCGTAGTTCACTGACATCAGAAAGTGTAGAACCAGAAGAGCCAAATGTTAATGTATATAACTGGCAACGTGACGATTGGATGTTGCGAACACGACAGACTGGAGCTGTACGGGTAGAACTGGCATCACCTGAAGACATAAGTCTTGATTCTGAGTCTACAAGAGTTGTATTTGGTACTTTAGGAACAACTGTATGACTGAGTTAGCTTATAAATTAATGAATTAAATCCATGACAAATAAGAATAATAAAAATAAATACTTCGATTAACTTAAAATAAACACCAAATAGTTTATTATACTGAGAAACAAATATAACATTATGTTATTACTTATTAGTTTTATCTACTTGTTTTACATTTATATTAAACTATGAGAGAAGAATCACAATAATCAAATGATTTAATCAATAATATGTACATAGATGTATAATCAACAAATAACTTACCTTGTTTATTATAAATCTCCTCGCATTTTTTTATACATATAGTTTATTAAAGTATAATATCTACTTCTAAATAATTATCTAGTCATCGTAATCTGTGTTTCAATATTTAGTTTTCTTTTATATTAATATTTTTTCTCATTGGCAAAACTCTTAAAACTAATTAAATTAAATATTAATACATTAATCTTTATCTTTTTTTTATATGTTATACTTAATTTTAATGTCTTCAGTTTTCTTTTTTATTTGTGTTTGTGCCAAAGATGTGTTTTCTCGGCTTAGATAAATTTATGTTATACTATATAATACGTATGCTTATTGTAATTGACTTTAATTTATGTATATTTTTTTTATTTTATTTTTTTACATTGGTATAGTTTATTTTTTTTTTATTCAAATATTTATATATTACTTTTAAAATGTTATCTTTTAACATAATATTTATGTTTTATAGATTATTATTATATGTTTATGCTTAATTTTTTTATTAAATTTTAATATGAATATATTAAAATATATTATGTACAATATCTGTGACCCAAGTTACTACAATTTGGTTGTGGCTGAATATATTAAATTTGGCAAATGTTTTATAACTTGTAATATTGAAATAATGATTTAAAGATAATATACTCAACAAACATTAAACATTTTGAAACATTGTTAATTATTTAACTTTTAACACTATTTTTAGAATTCTGCTTGTTAATAACATTCTCTGTATAGATCATTTTTATGCATAAGTGTATTTTTCTTCTTTATATAAAATGTTATATAAATACAATATAAACAAAAATTACTACGAACAAATAACAATATCTATATCTTTCATATTTTAAGCATGTAAATTTATAATTTTTTTTATATTCTTGATCTGTAATAATGCAACAATAATTAATTATTACATAAATGTATTTGAAGTGAATTTCAAAGTTACCAGCCAGTTACAAGCTAAACATTGGCTTAAAGCAATTTTAATGAGCTAAGTTTAGATGAAGTTTCTCAAACTAGTAATTGATTCATAACTTTCATCTAGTATCCTAAATAAATGGTTTATTTATTTATTTATTTATTTATTTATTTATGAGTATCAGCCTCTTAAATATTAATTGAAAATTAGGAATTAGAATTCCATTTTCTGAAAAGTTAAAACATAGTTTTCTTAAACCAAGTCCTTACTAAAATATTTTCATAAGAATGTTAACATTTTTATTTGTGAGTAATTTGTGTACCTATTCTGAAAAAGACTAATTTTTTTATCCTAAATTATTTATATTGTTGAACAAGTAAAATATCAATTTGTTTTAATTTCTACGGGAAGAAATATTTCTTTAGAAATACAATTTGTTTTTTTAGTCAACAGAACCAAACTGTACAACTATACCTGTTTACATATTTATGGATAGCTAAAAAATTACAATTTTAGATTCTGATCTAAGTAATTAGTTACAAAGTAATTGGTTTTACAAATTACAACCATGTGTCTATCATCACGTTTTGGAATAGCAAAATCAATCTTCATCTTTGAAGGTGGTTTATGGTAGCTAATTGGATCGTGTTGGTACTATAGGGCTCTAAAACTTCCTCGTAGGGACTTATCTTGATGATTGAAATAAACTAAAAAAAAGAACAGGGATATTTACGCAATACCGATTTTTGTTGTAATTAAAAATATATTAATTGACAATTTAATACAGTATCACTCATATGTTGTCTCATAGAAATTTAAAGAAATATCTAAATTACGTAGGCAAAATTTTTTTATTACTGTATTAACTTCATATTTCGACCAAATTACAAAAATTTGCAATTTATTTATTTAATTTTTTTATTAAAGTTCTTAACCAGGAGAAATACATCTTGACTATTTCTGGTTTGTTAATAACTATACATATTAATGCATAAAATGTAGTAACAATAATTGTTAAGTTGGTTTAACAGAATTTTTTTTAATGGTTATACCATTTTTTTTGTACAACCATTATTAATTTGTTATATAATAATTTATCATAATAAACTAAGTCAATTTAAAATTTTCCAAAAAGCCCTTGGGGGGGGGGATGCCCCAGCTAACAGCCTGATCCCCTCTCCGGGTACTTATGGGTCCGCTGCTGAGTGCTGACAAGTATACAGAGACACAGAGTACACATTCATCGGGAACAGTTCTGTCTTCCAGGAGTTGCCTATGGGCATTAATACCATTAATATTCACAGTTCGGTGTTTACCAATAATTTATGCAGCCATACAGGATGTATAGGTAGTAGGTATATACCACATAGACGTTTATCTATTTGTAGCAGTGAACCTACAGTTCGTGGTTACTATTGTTAGGTAGGTATAGGTACCTAGGTCTGACAGATACACCTACTTTACCTATTTTACTATAACTCGACGTCTCGACTCTCGAGTTTCAATTCTTGACGTTATTGATTAAACAACAGTTTGACACCGTTGCACCGATACTGCGTATACCTATCTACATGCTGTACGTCTGCAATGCGCGTTCACCAAAATATTCATAAATCATTATTTACTTTTGAATGTTTATAGTTTATTAATAAGCATCTGTACACAAATGCTAGTAAATATGATTAATAATTCTATTTCTAAATCATTAGATCTTGTGGACGGATCATCTTCAATAACTATCGAGAATTATTCTTCAGGTGACCCAAGCGAGTAAGATATTTTATTTGCGTCAAAATACCTAGTAGACGAATGATTAAGATCACTAAATGCATTATGTTAATTTACCGATCCAAATGTGATTTTAGGGGTACAGAGGTCAATAAACAGACGAAACTCATCAATGCATTAGAAGTTGCACATCTAAGAGATTTAAAAAAATATTTTTTTTATTACGATGGCAAAGAACATCCATTGAACAAGGACGAATTCGTCGCAGCAATATGTTCGGTAACTGGTTAGTATGGGTACTTATAAGCCTCAGTAAAAATTATAACTATTTGATTCTAAAAGGAGAAATATGGTTGATTCGAACTTATACAAATTGAAGAATCAATGGTTAGGTAGGTTAGGTAATTATACATACAATAAGAGAACAAATCGCATAAGATAATTATTTATTATTTATTAAACTTTTACAGTCAATAGTCAAACCTATAATAGTCCAACGGTCTGCAACTTGTTTAATGGTATGGTCACATCAAGTTAGAATCTAATATACATTTTGAATTCGATATTGCTGCCTGTTGGCCAAAAAGCAATTCTTCGAGGAGGGGTATAGGCGTATAGCGACCTAATGAGATTGAAAGTAGAGAAAAATCAATTTTATTTCAACATTTTTTTCAAAGAAAGAAAACCCCTTTTTAGAATATAGGTGTAAAAATATCAGTCAGCTTGGTGGGGACAGGTTTAAAAAGCTCAACAGGTCATATATTTGAGACGACCCCTGCATCTATAAATATGAGACATATACTTAGATATAAGAAAATACCTAAAGGGGACATCAATACATAATCTTCTGAAGTTTATGATGTTAGAAGTGGTGTTCAAGTCGTATCTATATTACTAATATATATTACCTATTATACACTAATAATAATGATCGAAAATCGTATTTAATGTAGTTTTTTTGAAAGCCATTTATAATACTATAAGAACTGTTATAACAAAATCAAATAATGTGCTAATATTTAGGTAGGTCGTGGATATACATATTACCATTTAACACTATAATTCTGCGATATACATTTTTACACTATATCTACTGCAGTACCTATCAAATATACATATTTTGATTTTTAATTACCTATATTGTGTGATATAAAAATCATCAACTCAGTTTTAATTTTTAAAACACAGGTAATAATTTATACGTAAAGGAGGCTGATGATTTTTTCGAACAAGTTTGCGTAGAAGATTTTACTACAAAAGAAGATGTTATACTCTGGAAACAACTTTTAAATGAAATTCGATACAGTACTTTTTTTTTTCAAGATATTTGGGACGCATTACCTTTTGACCAAACTAATATAACCATGCATTTAATGCCACACTGCAAAGTAAGTACACTTAAAATGTGCTAGTTAACAATAACATTGTATCGCAAAATAAAATAATAATTAAATTTATTCAGTGCTTATACTTATGTATAATAATATTATTAGGTATAAATAAGCAAGTACACTTTTCAAATATTGTTTTGAAAAATTCGCATACTGATAGAAATAGAAATCCATAAGACTACAATCATTGATGTTGGTATAATTAATGTTATAGTTTTAGATTTAAGTACACTGAAAATCAATAACAAATAAAATATATGAAACCGTAATTAATTAAAACTAAGATTGCCTGTAGTTTATATCGAACTGTATAATATTATTATGGTATACGGTATACCGTATGCGAATACCCTGCACCAACGTAAATGACTCAATGTACCTAAAACGCACATCAAGACACTGAAATGTACAAGAATAAATACGAAAAAATACATAGTATAGGATACATAATAATATACATATAAATGAAATACATGCTATATTAATAGACATGGCATGTGTAATGTGTTATATGTATATATTATAGTGCGTCTTACTAAATAATTCAAAATATAATATAGTTATGGGTTATGGATAATGTAGATATTTGCTACTCTATAATATTATAGGTAATAGCCAATAACAGGGACATTTTCACCACTTTTATATAGGAAATACCGGGCAATTTTATGGGGAATTTAATTTTTGATTTTGATAATTATACACCGATATCAACGATAGTACGAATATGTCCACACTAAATGAGGTAGAAAGTGGCGGATAAAAAGATGAGACTTAAGATTAAGAAAAGGATCTAACTCCACAAATAGGAAGTCTACTGGAGGCACTGGTAGCAGTGAAAGGTGTGCGTGAATACATTTCTTCTATATCGATACACAGAATACTTCATTGTTCTCTAACGCAGTTAAATTACAAAATGCCTTAATACATGAAATTACTATGCATCGAGGTCTTAAACAAGCTAAAGTAACTGAATTTTTCAATAAATGTTAATTTTAATACTATATGATATTTTTAATTTATTTTAATTTACATTTTAATTTATTTTTACATACATAATAATATTATAATTTTAAATAATAATATATGCACAGCTAATATTTATTTATTATTAAAATAATACAAATACAATACATACTTACATAGTTATTATACATATGTACATATTATATAAATGTTGTATTATATTATGTAGTTATTATTTCTCCGAATTATTTTCGAAATTTGTTGTCCCTCTGAATACAGGACAGCTCTAAATAACGGTGACCGAGAGTGTCCGGTATTTAAAGGTATCAGTGTATACTGTATATGTATTATATAAGTATACCTATTACCTACCTACTTTAAATGTTTTTGTTAATAATAATAATTTACCTATATATCTATTTAGTATTTAAATATATTATTTTATAGTAAGATATTATATTTTCCACAGCATGAGTCCATAGTCAAAGTGATTAGCATAGAAACCGAAGAATTTTTTTGTTACACAGTTTTTTCTAGACTTGGCCAAGTGGGCATCTATGATGGTCATCTAAACTTACTAAGGGAATACGTACTACAATTATCTCAGTGTCCCGACGTTTTAGTACGGGCTGCTCATCGACGACGTAATATTTGGATTAATGATGCAATTTACTTACCAGATGCTCAGTTCATAACGATTGCTGCATCAGACGGTTCTATCCATTTTGTTGACACTGTTTGTCTAGTTCATGTGCCAACTTTTTGTATTACTGGTAAATAATGGACACGATTTTATTGCAACGAAACCTTGTAATATTTAGGCATTAATTTAAAACTAACAATTCAATACAGGATTAAAAACAACGCCGACTTGTTTAGAATACTGTCCTAGTAGTTCTTCACTTTTATTTATTGGTGACGATAATGGCAATATTACTCGAATGGAATTTCTCCAACCAAAACGATCATTATTCAAACGAGATCCAACGAATAAAGTTGATACATATTTGTGGAAAGTTAGTATAACTCCATAATATAAATTAATAATAATCCACAGGATTAAAATAGTTAGTAGGTATTCAGCAGTAGGGCAAATTTAAGTTTTATAGTAATTACTAATAATTGGAATTTTATTTTATTATATAGTATAGGCAAGTCCAATCAAAATTGTATAATTGAAAACTTTAACAAGAGTATAGGTTACATTTTAACCTTTATCGTTTTTTATTTTTTTTTATATTTTAACTTTTTTAATGACGATATCCAATTTTAATTTCTTATTTCAAATTTCATATTTTTTAGGAGTTCTTCGATGTATAAAAAAGTCAAGTTTTGGAAGAGTAGATTATACGTTATTAGTATTTAAAGTTTTAATGAACAGAGTGCACTGGTAGATTGGTACCTCGAAAAATGTTGGTCTAACATACTACTCATAAAAACTTGAAATATTTATAACTAACAAACTACTTGTCAAAAATTTGATTTTTATGCATCGAAATATTCCGAATAATAATCTGTTTCGAAATGTATACAAAAGTGTAGGCAGATAAACAAATAAAAAAAAAAAAATTGTAAAAATATATTTATTTTCCAAAAATTTTGTTTTGTATAATAATTTAAAATTATGTAAAAGAAATATTTTTAAAAACGTTAGTTTTTCTCAAAATAATGAGTTTCTTACGTAAAATGGATCACCCGATATATGCAATTATATTCTATAGGCTATAATAATAATTGATATATTAATTAAATATTGTACTGTTTAATATAAATATTATGTCTTGTTATAGGATTTGGAATATCAGCAAGAATGGGTTAAAGTACACACATGCGGAATTCCAATCCATCCAGATAGTATTAAACATATTATTTATTGTCAATCTGATGAAGCTACAATAAGTTGTTGCCAAGACCACAAACAATCTCTAGTCATCAAACATATAAGAGATGAATGGAATCCATATGTATTTCACATTCGACATGTATTATTCGTAGTTTCATATAAATTAGTGCATTTATGTTTGGCATTTCTGATTGTATGTGTTTGAAAATATTATAATAGGGTGTACGATGTTTTCATTACAATGCAACACTTAAATTATTAGTTACTGGATGTTCGCACACAGTTTATGTATGGAATCCAGTAGTAACGAAAATATATCTTGCTAAATTAGAAGGGCATACAAATTCAGTTGTAGATGTCAGAATTTTTGAACATTTCAATCTTGTGATTAGCATTTCAAAGGACGAAGTAGTGCCTACAATAAATAGATATATTCAAATATGTATTAAAAATATATGTTTTGTTTTGAAATAGGTACTCAAGGTATGGAGTTTAAATACCTATGTATGTTTACAAACAATTCAATTTGATTTTCCAGTCTACAATGTACTCGGAAAGTCAGTCGAATTTAGTGCTCGGACATTTTATCCAGGACCAATCATCAAACAACCACCAGAAGAACAAGCGTCATTAAAATCCATTGATGCAAGTAATATAACTAGCGTGCAAACAAGTGTTTATATGCCCAAGTTAGTACATAATTTGAAATACATATATGAATAATAAATACCTAATCACCTAATCAATATTTTAAAACAACCCAAATGTTTTTTTAGAGAAAATTGGGAATCTGAAGTATTGATAATTGTTTGCTCTAACTATTTATCAACATTAAAACAAAATTTAAAGGATTATTCCCAAAATCATTCTCCTCTTCCTCCACCAATAGAAGACAAAAAACCAGCGCTTCCATCAGAATGGAGTTTCAGTGATACAGATCAGATTATCACTGACGAAATGTATAGCACGTTAATAGAATCACCGAAGATAGATAATAATAAAATAAAAAATTTGCTTATTAAATCAAGACCTCCGTTAGACCATGAGGCTTTTAACCTGGATACACATAAAAAACCGATAAATAATAAAATGAAGAAGCATGTAGATGAAATGGTAAAAAATGGAACACCTTATTTAGCAATGCACTTATGTCCCGTGTATAAATTGGAACTATCTAAGAATTTGGTGTTGAGCGATGCAACAAAATCAAGGTTCCCGTTTATGGAAAAAATGGATGAAATATTTTGTGATGGGATTGCATATGATGAAAAAGTTAAGTCACCCGTGAAGGAGCAAAATAAAGAAAAACCGATTAACATAAACAATTTGATGGAAATTATAAATAAATTGGAATTAGATGAAGATGGTGATATTGAAAGAATTATAAACGAATTTATTTAATAGTATCCATTCCTCACCAGTCGCCATTATGTACGATACGTATTTTTGTACTTTTTTTTTATACATTGTTTTGAAATGTATTAATCATTAAATTATTAGTCAACCCTAAAAATTAAACTCACACTCCTCATAGATATTATGTAGTATTTTGATTTTTAATTTTATATTATTTTTTTATCTGAATGATGAAAACTTTTTTCAGGTTGGATCAAAGCTTGAATTTTCATTTTATTTTAAATAGTGCTAAAAAATACTTTGAAACAACAAATGTTGTGCAATATTTAAATGCATACTTTAACTTTCATACTATACAATTTCCATTATACAGTGCTACGAAAGTACTGTCAAAATGTCAAGTCCCTTTAGCTATTATTGTTCAGACTCTATACGACCTAGGTTGATCAGTCAGTCAAGACACGTTCGATTACATCATATATAGATTTGATTTTATCTTACCTTTTTTTATCTCCCATTAATTAAGATTCGGGTAAGTTTATGCTGTAAATCAATTAAATATTGGTGAATTATAATAACTTATATTTTTTATTTGATTTTTAGATTATTTTAGTTTATCTTAAATAACAATTTATACCTACAAAATAGCCAGTGTAAAAAAGTTGTAACTATTATACTGTATAGTGAATTGCTTTGATGAGACGTATGTTAAGAGGCTTCCATATTTTATCCAAATTACATCAAACAAATTGTAAGCTAGGTATAAATCTCTGTTTGTAAGATGAGTTTTGAAATTTGTAGGTAAGTTCATGGGTTCGAAGTTATGTATATTTTGAGCTATGTATAAGATATTTATAATTTTTGATTTTTTTTTTAAATGTTGATAAAAATGTTTTCACTCAGTAAAGAGTTTGAAATACAAGGTTCCTCATAAATTGTTCATATATACTAATTAAAAAAATATCGAAAATACATATCCATAATTCAAAATGTATTTTAGTAGCAGCTAATCTTAGAATATTGACCAAATTCGTCAAAATCGTGAAAATGTGCAAACATATTTTGTAGATTGAAATTCATAAAAATGTTCTTTTTATATTTAAGAGTTGACATTTGAATCATTTGATACAAGATTGCTTAAAAGAATCTAGAACAAAAATTAAATTAAAGAAACTCACATTCATTATATTTATGAGCGTTTGAAGTTCAATTTTTTACGATTTAATGGTATTCAAAGCTTAAAATAACGATTTTTCATAATAACCATTTTATTTTTTAGTTGTTATTAAAAACAAATAAGTAGTAGATGCATGACATTTTCCCTAAATGTTTATTTTAAATACATCATAATATTTTGAAAATGTTTTGTCTCTTTTTGAGATATTTATAGATATTTTCAAATTTAAAATGTATTAGTTTTAATCTAGAATGACGATAAAAAAATCTTGGCTTTGGGCAAAAACCTTGAAAATGTAATACTAGGTTCCTCATAAGTTGTTATTGTATCAATTAAAAAATATTGAAAGTACATAGGCACATTTTTTTTTTGTATAACCATTTGAAATTCAAATTTAAACAAATATCGTCAAATTCCTGAAAATTTGAAAATTATTTTAAGGTTAAAAATGTACGAAATGTTTAATTTTTATTGCTTAGGCTTCACAATTAAAATTGAAAAACCAATTCACAGTATTTGTACAATGTATGATAATGGTGATTGGAAGGGGGCTAACTTCACATATTTGTATGTGTCCACTGCCTTTCTAAAAAAATAAAAATTTAAAATGTAGTACTATCAACTGTTATTATTAAAAATTAATTAATAGTACATATTAGTCTTAAATTTATTTATTTTCGTATTTCATATCACAGAATGTAATTTCAATAAATATTATTTTATCTATTCAACGGTCTTTAACAACTTTGTCCAATTCATCGCAAGATTTAGATTTACTGCCCCTGTCAAGAATAAATAATAAAAAATTACACAACAAATTACACTATTAGTCAAATAGACTATGCCATAAAAGCAGATAAATATTCTATGATTTACCTTTTGATGAGATCTCTTCGTCCAACTTGAATAACAATCTGGCCACATTTTACTTCTTTAAATAACGCAATAGCTTGGGAATGTTTGAAACCATCCATACTTTTTCCATTTACGCTGATAATTTCATCACCTGTTACATTTAAATAATCATATAACAGATAAACAAGACTAATTTATATTTTGAACATACCCTCTTTTAAAAGCTGTGATTCTGCTGCTTGACCAGTAGGAAAAATCGTTTTAACGAATATTCCCATGCATCCTTTTGGAGAGTCAATTCCACCAACGATACTGAAACCTAAAGACTTATATCCAGGTCCTTTATGAAAAATTATCGTTTTTAGAGACATGGATAACGATCTAGGTCTCGGCAATCGAGGTAGTTGGGTATGTTTGGGTCGAGTTTGATCTAAATGCACCGAGAATTTTCGCATTCCAGTCATCTTAGGTTTTTCTTCTAACTTAATTTCTGGCAATGATGATTGTCTAGAATAAAGTGGCTCATGTACTTCTTCTGACTTTGCTGGATATTTAGGAACAGTCGGGGGTTTTTGAATTAATAAAACTTGTTCTGTATTTGAGGTTGGTTGGCATTTAGATCTAGAAACAACAAATTCTATGCTATACTTTGATGAACGCATTATCGATTCCACATCTTGACGCCTTAAACCCTTTACTCTAGTACCATTGATTTTTATTATTTCATCTTGGATAAATAATTTACCATCCCTGAAAAAAGTGACACAGTACATTATTTTCTTAAAAATACAGTATTAGAGTATTTCATCTTACCTAGCTGCTGGACCTGACAAAGCTGTAATAATTAATGAACGAGTTCTTAAAGAAGAGTCTCGATACTCCACATTAACTCCAACATCTTCACCAAGACGTTTACTAAACCGTATGGTTTTCATCTCGATATGTCGGTCACTTGGGTTTATGCAGCTACTTTTTTTCAATAAAAACCTTTGATAAAGACTCATATTTCGTTCCGGTTTTTTACATTCGTCACATATTAATGACGAGACCTCCACATTCGATCCAACTTGAAGTTCCTTGACATCACCTCTTTTTAATCCCATCCTAACATTTTTTCGAGAAAATTCATCATTATCAACTGAAGACTGTGATTTAATTGATCCCCTAGGTGAGTCTCCACCATTTCTAGTTGAATCACTCTCGTAACCACTTTCATCTGCTTTTATTAACACACGATTTTTTTCGTCAGTTTTATTTATTATAAACGTTTCACCAAAACTTGTATGTCTTCTTCTTCGGTTTTTAAGATAAGAATTTTGATTCACACGATTTGTAGCTTGATTGAACACATTAAGAAGGTCTTCATAACTTAGAGTCCGAAGGTCATCAATACTCTTCTGTAATCCTAAAACCTTTTTATTAGAAATAAGATATTCTAAAATGCACTGTTCTTCGAGAGGATTCTCATCAATGTTAACAGATAAAGTCGTTCTTTTAATGGACATAATTTTGGGAGGAATTATTTTTATTTTTGAAGGGTTTTCCATGGCATATAAATCCTCAAGACCCTTTTGACATTTTTCTTTTAACCAATCATGATCTTTTCCTTCTAAAGTCCTTGGTTTTTCAATACTTCTAATACTTTCTATTCTTGATAAACGTTTACTTTGGTTATTATGTAACTTATCAATATAATTTTGATGCAATTCAATATTTTGATTATTTATATCTTTCGTAGATATAGGTGACCATTGTCTTCTACGATTAGGAGAAACTTGAAGTATTTCAGAAGAATCACTTCTTTTTAACTGATCCCATTTTCTTCCAACTTTTTTACCCCAGGTTGCTAAACCTACAAAAAATGTATACAGTTAAATAATAAACAATTATTAGACAGATGTTGTGAACAATTTACTTTTTTTATGAGGTTTCGGTGAACCATTGTCAGGTGTGGTACATCCTTTTGGAGTTGCATAGCCAGGCGATACATCTCTATGGTCCTGTTCAATAGGCGACAAGCTAACAAGTTGAGGACTTGGATCAGAACAGCGCCTTTTGAAAAGTCTCATTGTTTTATATCAGCTAAAAATTATATTATGAAATATTAAATATATATCAAGCATACAGAAAAAAACTAACATGATGATTTCTAGAACATTTCACAAAAATAGGTACAGCGTAAAATACAATTATAATTTATAATACGACTAAAGTCGTAAAGACATTCAGTTCATTAACATTCGAGAAAATGAGATTTAAACCTGTTTTTTTGATACTGTTGTATTGAAATACTTCTTAGTTTATTACCAAGAGAAATCAAATAGGAAAATGTATAGAATTTCCGAGTGGTTTAAAATGGAATGCGACAATGCGTTGATTTAGTAATTAATTGTATTAATACTTTTCTTCTACTTTCTATAACGAAGTTCGAAAATAAAGGTTTATGAATTTATGATATATTTTTCTGGTAGGTCGATAAGTACCAATCAATATATAATAATACCTAATTGATAATGAATTAAACACCTAAATTTATATTTTAAACCTAAACATTATTTTAGTGTCTTAGACTTAATAATAAATACAACTAATACCTAAAAATAATTTTTGTTAATACAATATACATATAATATTTTCCATTAATTCCCTATTTTTACCTTTAAAAATACATGTCATGTATTCAAATTCAGATTTATAGAATTTTTAAGTATACCTACCTATACAGACCGTGTTTTAGATTTCTGATATTTTTTGTACCTAATTTATATGTATCTAAATCAAAATCATATTACCTAAGTAGTTTTTGAGTTATTAAAACGTTTATACATTCCTGGTGTTACAAAAATATAAACTAAATGTTGTATTAGATGTAGAGTTCATTATACCTACTTAGATCATTTTTACAAATTTGATAGATTAGTAGCAATTACTAACATTTTCAAATCTTTTAAGCCTCCAGATCTACTTATCCCATAACCAATTATCCTTAGTACACGAAGTTATAAGATGGTCGTTTGTATTTTTATTTACATACCTAAAAATGCTCAAAAAAAATATCCTTTGAAAAAATAAAAATGAAAAAGGGGAATTAAAAATTGGTATTGTCACAAGATCATCTTTAAGTGATTCAACAAATCTCATGCAATCGAAATATGGTCTTCAAGCTTATTTAATAATTCTAAAAATCAGAATTTTAACATATGTAAAATGTAAGCATAAAAAAGTGTGAGCATGATGGTTAAAAAATCATCCTGTATATTCTCACAGGCCACAGATCTATTTGCATAGAACGATTTGTAAGTTGAATTAAAATATATTATAAGAAATATACGATTTACTGTTTTTACACTGTTCAAACTTTTAACATGTATAGGCACGTCTTACTATTTACATACCTCATAAATTAAACTTTAATGTAAATTTCAGTTGCTCTAATAAATGAATCAAATTTTCAATATAACCTAATCAGGTTATATGACTGCATGAGTACGAGTATCCTTGTTTAATAAAACGCATTAATATACTTTTACTACTTGTAGTTACACTATATATTTTACCATAAAGAATAAAACATATACATGTGACCATTTTAAAGTAGGACAGGTGTATAATTATATTTAAAAAAACTTTTCAATATTAAATTGACAATTGTCATTTATCTATTACGTAATTACATCAATACTAAAATATAAATAGGTATAAGCTATATAGGTACATAGTATTCATAAGGTTAAATATATGTTCACAATATAAAATCTATAAGTAATAATCTATTGGACCTGTCGATTAAGTAACAGAATTGGATGCACTAAAGTGCATAAAGTATAAACTGTTAATATTAAATTTAATACAATTTATGTAGAAAATTTTCAAATA